AGCATCTGAATAGCCATTTCTCAAAGAAGACATCAGATGACCAAAGATATATTAAGGCAATGCTCATCATCAGTAAGATGCAAATGGGCACAATGAGACAACTCACATGTGATAAAATGATTATTATAAGTAATATGAAAGACAGTGCTGAGGCCAGCAACATGGCTCGGTGGTTAAAGGTGCTTGCCACTTAGTTTGATGACTTAGTTTGATACCTGGAACCCACAGAACTGATTTCTGCAAGTGATTTGGCATCCACAAACACATTATGACATGCACATACATATAATCTAAAAATTATGAAGATAGAGCCATCAAGGACTGTAGATGGGAATGTCAATTAATATAGTTATTATGGAGAACAGTATTGGGGTTCCTCAGAAAATGGGGAATGGATTTACCATTGATCCACCAGTCTCATGTCTGGGTGCATATCTAAAGAAAGTGAAATCACTGTGGCAATGAGCTAGAGATAGTGGCACTCTCATGGTCATTTCAGCATTATTCACATTGACTAAGATGTGCAACAACATACTTTCATTTTCAGATGATGTGGTATTGGTGATAATGAAGTACTATTAGACCATTAAAAAGAGGAAAATCCTGTTGCTTTCAAAAGAGATAAACCTGAAGACAGTATGTTAAAGCAAGTAAGCAGGGTACAGAAGGACACAGACTACATGGCCGTAGGTCTAATATCCTGTTGTGGCTACTAGAGGTAGAAGGAAGGTGTGGATGGAGACATTGATCAAAGTTGCAACTGGAAAGAATAAGCTCCAGTTGTCCGTTGTAAGGACAATGAATATTAAATATTAAACAATAGCATATCTCATATTTTCAAATTGCCAAAGGGGATTTTAAATGTTCTTACCACCCAAAAATGATAAGTACATATGATAGTTTTATTTGTTTACACGGTTTAATCATCCCACAGTGTAAACATATATAAAAAAATAACATATTCTGCCAGCTAAGAATAATGTTATGAAAAAGGTCACTTCCTTAGATAGGACTTCGCAGCTGTTCTGTCTGAAGACGCATTACTATGCAACGCCACTCCGAGTTCTTTACTAGCGTTGCCATCTTGTCTTTGCCAGATCAAAGTCTTTCTGGGCCATAGTGGTAAGGGTTACAGGAGAAACCCTGACCATTGTTGGAGTTCACTAGAAGTTTATAAGGAGAATGCCTCTAGGAACACACCTGTAAACACAGCTACTTGGAAAGCTGAGGTTAGGTGTTTAAGAGTCGAAGGTTAGCTCAGGCTACTTAGTGAAGCTTTGTCTCAAAATAAAAAAATAAAATAAAACAGGCTTTTCAGCAGATAGATATGTTTGTAGGAGGTAAGTCTGGTTGTAATATTTGAATTCCTACCACTATGAGGTTGACCAGAGTTCCCCCCAAAAGAGACTGTTAAATAACAGCACAGTTTCTTCAGCTCAACTATTTCACAAACATTTTCACCCACTAATTTAAAAAGGGAGGTAGTTAGTTCCAATAGGACCAGTAGCTTGTTGGGATTAGGCCATTCACAGATGATACTTATAAATTTTGGACAAATATTTAAATGAAATTTTTAATATTAAAAGTTATTGATTTAAAATCAATAAATTAAAACGTGATGTTGCTTGAAAGAAACAAAACGCACATACACTGAGGAATGGAATGGAGCACCACACATCCGCCCAAGTGAAACAAAGGGGAGGAGAGGGGAAATCAGGAGATAGTTCAGTTCTTCTCAAGAGTCCCAGCCAAGGCTTTGCTGAAACTGTACTACATTCCCACTCCTCCCTCAGGCCAATTCTGTTCTTCATTCTTGCTTTTCACAGTGTTGATCAGGGAACCACTCTTCAATAGGCCTCCCTGTAAGACACTGTAGGGAGAGAGACACTGACTCAAAAGAATAGAAAGTGTGTGTGTATGTATGAATATTCATGTATATATGAATATATATGTATGTATATGAATATACATATATATGTATATATGTATATATGTGTATATATAGTCATGTATATATATGAATATATATACATATATATTTGTTAAATACAATAGGACATCATCAAGTTAGATCATATTGAACCATAAAGTAAGTCTCATGGCTACCGAGGTAGCTTTGCAATAAGGTTATTGCCATATGAGCATGAGGACTAGAGTTTCGTTCTCTAACACCAAAGTAAAAATCCAGGCACAGCCACATGCTTTAGTGCCTTGGGAGGTGTGGATTGACAAGAAAGGGATGCAGGGAAACTTTCTGAGGTCATAGAAAAAAAATCAACCTTACCCTACTTTACCATTTAACAAAATTCAAAGAACTGTACTGTAAAGACTTTCTGGATTTTACCCTAAGTGAAACTGACAACATGTAAAAGTTGAGGGCCAGATGAAAATGTTTTTATTTCTTCAGATGTGGGGATAAGATGAGAACTGTTAACCAAGCTGTACGAATACACAGCCTGGGAAGAGCCCAGAGTATTTTTTCTCTGTTCTCGCTATTCCTAGGCCTCGGCCTGAAAGCTTCTAGTCTCCATATGATCTTATCTTCTGCAAACTCAAAAATTGAAGACGTCATCTTCTATCCTTCATCTGCTAACCTAGGCCTAGAATGTTTCAGCCTTTGAGACTTACTGCTGAATAAACTCATCCTTTCTAGCTCTTTCTGAATTCTAGCTGCCTGGCTTGACTCAGCTATTCTGGCCCAAAGTCTTCTCCAAGCTGACTGATTCAAACTGGCTTCTGACTGAATTGCTCTGCCTGGCTTCAGACTAATTTTGGCAATCTTTTTTAATCTTCTGGTTCCTTCTCATTCTCTGGCCTATTCTTTCTGCAACCTGTCTCTAAAACTGTCCCCATAAAACTGCCACACACTACTCATACTACACTCTACTCCTCCTGCTCTTCTCCCTGCACTGCTCTCAAGAAGCCTCTCTTTCCTGTGCTGTTCTCATGAGAAATTAGCATATCCTATCTCTGACTCATCCTCTTCTCATTTCTGATTCATCGCTTTGTCCCTCAATTAGACATCACTTTCAAACATGTCTGCTTCCTTCTATAAACTAATCTTACTTTCATTGTTTGGGATTAAAGGTGTGTACTAACAGCTTATCTTTATTCTAGCAGGATCATATAAATCTAGACGGTATTTACATGTGATCACTTACTGGAGCAGCCAAGTTGCTGGATTAAAATTCCTCTACAACAACAATAAAATATAAAAATATAGCAAAAACATATAGTTCAGTTCCATGGCTTAAGTAGTCATTGTTCTCCATCTCAAATAACTAATGAGGTTTTAAAAATTGTTTGGGCTGGAGAGATGGCTAAAAGGTTAAGAGCACTGGCTGTTCTTCCTAAGGTCCTGAGTTCAATTTCCAGCAAACACATGGTAGCGCATAACCATCTACAATGAGATCTGGTGCCCTCTTCTGGCCTGCTGGCTCACGTACAGGCAGAATACTGTATAAATAATAAATACAAAGTCTTAAAAATTCATTCTTCGGTTGGTGAGATAGCTGAAGCTCAGCCAGTAAAGGAACCTGCTGCCAAGCTTGAATACCTGAGTTCAGTCTATAGCCCCACAGCGTGGAAGGAGAGAACTTATACCTATCAGCTGTTCTCTGGCTTCCACAGGAGTGTGCGTACACACACATACATACATACACACACACACACACACACACAATCCAGCAATAAACAAATGTAATTTAAAAAAAACCAAAATGCTTATTGCTTACTCTGTTTAGGAAACTGTGTGTGTGTGTCACGTCTGTTTCGGTTACCATAACGAAATGCCACAGACTATATGACTTAAACAGCAGAATTTCTTCCCTCACAATCTGAAAGGCTGACAGGAGGGTATGACATGGTGGGTCTGGAGAGGAACACCTTCCAGGTGCAGATGGCCACCTTCCAGGTGCAGATGGCCACCCTTTACTTGTGCTCTTACTAGGTGCAGAGGGAATCTGTCATAAGAAGAGTTCTACTCCCTGGGGTTCCATCACCAATACTGACCCAATTTCAATAACACCCACAGGCCTAGTCTAAAACTCTCTTCTCACTAGGGATCAGATCTTCCACACATGAACTCACGGGGAGGGGGGGGGGAAAGGGGCGCTTTCAAGAAATGTTAGAAAATACAAATAAAAATTTTAAAAGGTCAAATAATGTGTGTTACCAGAACAAATCCACTGTTGTGATTTATCTGTGATTTCTAAAATGTGTTATTTTTATGTGACAGTAGTGATTCTGTGCATGTAATTTTGTATTATGAGTCTTTACTTTTTCAATTCAAGAGTTTACTCTTTCACAGAGCTATGTCCCAAGCCATTTAAAATTTTGTTTATATATTTTATTTTCCATTTAATTTTAGAACAGATTCTTGCTAAGTTAGTCAAGCTGTCCTTGGGCTCACTATAGCTCAGACAGACTTTGAACTAATGATAAGTACCATTCTCTGCCTCCAGTGTAGGTGGGTTGCTGGCATGTGCAACCCCATGTGTTTGATTTACTTGAGTTCAATACATGGATGTTTACAATGTATCAATTCATGTACATCCATGCATTGATACATTGTATAAAAAGATACATTGATGTATTAATGTATTAATACATTGATACAATATATTGATGTATTTAATATTACAACTTGAAACTTAGTTCTGTTATTAAAGATGCTTCATCTGAACCCTTTTTGAATGGACAGAAATGATTCACTGAGTGGCTGTGGCTGAATACTAGGTGTTTCCCATTATTTTACCAGTGTCAATAAGACTGTAATAAATCTATTTATGTGTAAAATTTTTACCTGTTAGATTTTTTTTTTTTTTAGTGTAGAATTCCTGAAAGTGGACGTTGTATGCTTTTAAGGCATATTGCCAAATTAGTCCCTAAAAGTGTGTTCCAGATCGCAAAGCCACCAGCTGGAATTGTGCTTTAACTGTTTGCTTTTAAAGGGGAGGAGGTTGGTTCTACTAATGTGCTTGCTGGCTTGTTTTCAATAGGTAAACAGAATCCTATGAGGCCCACTTCTGGTGGTGCAGAACACCTGGGCTCCTCTGACCCCACGCCTCTCACTCCCTAGCAGCTGGCAACCTGTACTTCGAGCCTTATCTAGTTGCTTTTGTGTGGACAGAGATTTTCCCACCTATCACAGCCATGAACTTCCTCCGGAGGCGTCTGTCTGACAGCAGCTTTGTGGCCAACCTACCCAATGGTTATATGTCAGACCTGCAGCGCCCAGAGACCTCCAGTAGCTCCCCAGCATCCCCAGCCACAGAGAGGAGGCATCCCCAGCCCCTGGCTGCCTCCTTCTCTTCTCCAGGATCCAGCCTGTTCAGCTCCTTCTCCAGTGCCATGAAACAGACACCACAAGCGCCCTCAGGGCTGATGGAACCACCAACTCCTGTCACACCCATGGTTCAGAAACCCAGGATCTTATTAGTGATCGATGATGCCCACACAGACTGGTAAGTATCTTCAGGGATGGAGCCTAAATGGGGCTATGTCACCTCTTGGGAGGAAAGAATAAAAAAGTAAGGGCTACAGGAGGCTTAAGTGGCTTCTGAGGCTAGCTGGGAGCAGTAGAGGTTCACCAAAGAGAGGCTGTATGCCTTGTTTTCTAGAAATCTTACACTGACAGAGTCATCTGAAAACTCTACAGCTAACAGCACTGAAATAAATAGAGGCCCCAAGTCTGGAAAGTTCCATGTATATGCTGTAAACATCTAAAAGTTTCTGATATAGGACCTGCCTGCTGCAAGTGATCTAGAGACACAGCAGGGAAACCATATGACCTTTCTGAACAAGCAGAGTTCTTAAGTCTGAAATATAACACACAGTGTTTCCCAGGTTACCTTTCCTAACAGGAGGCTGTTAGGAAAGTACGAGAATCACTAAAGGCTCATGACTCCTATTCTAAACTCTTGGGAACAGATTACCACTCTACATCCCACCTCTCCCATGAGCTTGACCTCTGACACCCTCTTCCAGACAGTAAGTTTAGAAAGCAGAGGCCAATACACCCACTGCAATAGTAAAAAAAGCTGCTGTCGGGTTAGATGAGGTGCTCCTGTAGGGCTGCCTCTGGGGAATAAGTTTATTCCCCAACTTTGTGATCCTGGGAGGTGACAAAACTGTAAGTCCCATTGGAAGATGGAATTTACAGTTAAGGACATCAGCCCAAATGTGGAAACGCTGAAGCCCTGTATTCAGAGCAGAACTAAACCTGTGTGAAGCAGAGTGGTTCTGATGGTGGACCCATGCACAGTGTTGGTGGGGCAATGGCATATGTGAGTATCTCCAAATCTCCAAAGACTGGCACATGGTGGGCACCCAGCATCCCCCAGGAGGTGAACTCATGTTGGGAGTGACCAAGCCCTACTTTGGAGTCAAAGTGGCTCATTTATTCAAGAGGTATTCCTAATGTTCAGCAATGTTAAAATATGTTCAGCTGATTTAGACAGCAGGCCTCACCTTTCTGATGAGAAGTAACCTCTTTACTGTTGTTGCTCTATACCTACAACTTACTATGAAGTCCAGTTCTAAATTCAAAGTCATGGGATTGCTTCCTGCCTCTGCCTCCCAATTACAGGTCCTCACACCCAAATTAGAAATGACCTCATTTTAAGCAGGGTGGCCTAGAAGGTTTCCCTGTCTGATCTAGTCTGAGTTGTGTTCTATTTTCTCCGAGACTTTTGTCTTGCAGGCTTGCTTGTGTCTGCTGTATGCTGCTGTAAAGCTTGCCCTGGGGTTCTGTACTTGAGGCTTGACGGTTTTGGAGCTTTAGTTTCTAGGCCCTCATGCAGGGGCAAACCTTTAGCCACAGTAATCTGCTGACTGCACTATATTTATAATCTTAGTTTCTAGTTAATCCAGCTTATTTTTAAGAGTATATCTGTGAGTGTTGTGTATAAATGTATGTATGTGTGTGCTCCTTTGTGGGTGCATCAACAAATCGCTCTTTTTGTGCAGGCCAGAAGTGGATGACAAGTGTCTTTCTGAACCAGTCTACCCTTTATTTAGAGGCAAGATCTCTCAGTGAACCCAGAGCTTACCAACTCTTGCTAGATGAGCTAACCAGCTCCATCCACCCACCCCCTGTGCTACCAGGATTCCGTCTCTGCCTCTCCATGGCTGGGGTTATAGGTGGCCACCATGCCTGCCAGGCTTTGATGTGGGTTCAGTGATCTGAATTCCAGTCCCCATGCTTGCAAGTCAAATGCTTTATTCATGGAGCCATCTCCCCAGCACTAACCAGACATTTGACCTTATTCTTTGCTAGCTCTCTTACCTCTTCCTCAGCTATCTGTCAAGAAAGTGGTTTGGAAGTGAAGTCTAATAACAGAGGCTGTGGTGTGGTAACAGTGAGGTCGAGTTCCTACCCTATTCCCCCCCCAACTCCCTCGTAGCTGTGCAGCTCTTGTAACTTGCTGTGCCTAAATGCAGTATCTACCTCCTAAAGGGGCTTTATGGAAGTAGGAAACATGTAAATTGATATAAAAGTATCTGACAGTTACTAAGTGTTATTTAAATACATATGCATAGTATTGTAGGGGACTGTGGCCCTCTCTGAATAATATTAATCATGACAGCAGTACCTTCCAGGCATTCTTGGTTTGTGTCTTCCTATCAAGTATATGTGCAGGAAGGACAGGGTTCATCCCATTGTGCCACAGGGTTTACTGTTGGTCATTTCTTCCTGCTTAGTCCTTTCGTGGCTGACTCAGAGCCTATGGTTCTGTGTCTGCCCATAGAACCTGTGGTGTTGTGACAAGGCACAGTGATTAAGGCTGGTTCCCAACCAATAGCATTTGAATTTTGTCTCCAGTCATCAATCACCTTAATCCACAGGGATGAATAGTGTATAAATCTTAGGCATTGCTCCCTTGAACATGGGGGTGGAAATACAATTTTGGCCTGAGTAGTTTCTCAATGTGTTGAAACATCTATCACTTACTCACACTTTAATTGGCTTTCCAGAACAACAGTGTTTACTTTCTGGCATTCTTCTTGCCCTTTGGTGGAGAAAAAGAAACTGAGGCTCATGGTCTCACCTGGGAGTTGGCTCCAAATTCTCTGAATGTTTGTTACTGAGAAACTTCCTGCCACTGGCTCATGTGCTTCCCATTTGAACTCCATTCTTGAATCTTCATGAACTTTAACCTTTCAGCATCTTAGTGGCATTCCCAGTTGTCTCTAGATTAATGTTCCCTGGGTACCTTGGAATCAATCTTGCTGGTTGTGGTGATGCACACCTGTAATCCTTGCACTTGAGAGTCTGAGTTTGGGAGGAATGTGAGTTCAAGGCCAGCCTTGGCTTTACAGGGAGACTGTTTCCAGAACTAATAGCCTACAGACACCAGAAGATTCTCAATCCTTCCTGTAGAAGTCTCAAAAAGTGCCTGTCCATAGCTACCAAAAGTAGCCAGCAGATGGCAGGCTAGCCCTATGGTCCAGTGTATCCTGGTGCCTGCCACCAGGTTGGGCTTCTTCCCAGCTACCCTTCCGTTGTTTGTTTGAAGGTCTCCTGAGGGAAGGAAGTTGTGAAAAGGCAAGAATCCTGCTCCCACTGGCCTTTCCTTTCCTTCTGAGATGATAATGAGAGGGGCTTGGACTGTCTGGGCTGAGAGTGGCCCCACCCCCCAGCCCCAGAGGAACAGTGCTGTCCCCTTCCTGATCCTTCTCAGACTTAGCCCAGCAAGCTCTTTCTCTTCTGCTCCAGGACCAATCCGTCTCATGAGGTTTCCTTGCAAGCAGAGGGTGTTGTGGGTACCCATGCCTCTTCTAAGAGACCAGCTGGCAAATTATTGAAAAATGTGGGCCCATTCAGAGCTCTGGGGAAAGGACCTTGCATTTATTTTATTTATTTATTTTTTTAATTTTCTTCACATCTAGTCTCTTAAAAAAAAATAACATATTCTCTTACAGCAACCATTAACAGTGTCAGCTCCTCAGGAAAAACGGGGTCTTGTGGGCTCCTCCTCACTCTATGATAGGATGTATGTTGGTCCAACCTTATGCAAGTATCCAAACCTGCTGTGGGTTCATGGTTACAGTGACAACATCCTATCTGGATGGCAGTGTTTCATGACACTCCTCACCACCCTCCCACTCTTAATTTTTTTTTTCTCCCTCTTCTGCGATATTCTCAGTCCTTGACATGGGGAATGATATAGATTAGGGATGAATGCACATCAATAACTTATTCTCAGCATTTGGATCAGATATTAATCTTTGCATTAACCAGCATCCTATGGAGGGGAGGAGAGCAGACCTTTTCTGCCCCAGGCAGGAGGTGATAAATATAAATATTGAAAAGGCAGTTTAACAGTTTAACAGTTGGTCCCTTGAGAGAAACAGTGGTAAAATGTTCTCCTTTTGAGGCTGTCTCAGCCATAGGCTTTTGATTTTGATCAGGTTTATAGTGTTTGCATTTTCTGAGGAGCAACTGGTATCCCAAAGCCACCTTTGCTGCAAGGATTCATGGCTGAACACTTTTAAGATGCAGCTTAAGGAGGTGAGCCTAGCCATGGAAAGGGTCTCTAGAGAGTTGCTGACCACCGTACTGGAGTTCTGACTCAGTGGCAGGCCTGTCCTCTGGGGTGGGACAAAGCAGTCAGTCTTGGGAACTACAAGAGAAAGTTTCAAGCTCAGTTTTCTTCAGCCTGCTGCTCCTGCATTGGCCTTCTTGCCTAGAATTTTGAGCAGTGTCCCTGGCTTCCAGCTTCTTGTCTTGACCTGTCTCCTGGTTAGCTTCCAGCGTAACATCATCATATCCTCTCTGGAAACAAATCAATTCCACCCTTGGATGGTGCATCACCAGCTTACACTTCAAGTTTAAAGTCATAAGCATTTGCCCCACCCCCTTCTGGGCTTGGCTCCATCACTATGTCCTGCTTTGCAAACAATTGGTTCCCAAGCACACCTCACCCTAGCACCCTCTGTTCCCCATTCCCCAGAACACCCTGCCCCATTGTGTTTACCTGGACCATTTCTGTTCATTCTTCGGAGCTTGAGAACATGTTACCTCTTCTGGGGGACTGCCTTTGACATGAACATATTATCACAATGCTGGCTGCCCTAGAGTGATTTAGCACATATTTCACTGTAAGCTTGTGACACGTATCACAGAGGCTTATAATTGAGTCTGCCTTAAGTTGCTGACTCATCTTTATATTGTCTAGAGCTTAATGGACACTCAGTCCAGTGTATGTCATTGTCCCCATCCCTCTCTGATCAGGTTGACATTATGAACTTACAAGTACCTTACCTTAGTAGTGGTGCTAAACACACAGTGTAAGGAGTCACAGTTCTAATTCCCCATATGTATAAAACCATGGTCTTTATCAGTATGCTAGAGTCACCGAAAAGTAAATGTTTAAGATTCTTTTTTTTTTTTTTTTTTTGCATGGCTCTTTTCAGTTTATTGCATGAAGGAGTTACACTAGTCCAAGTTAAAAGCAGACCC